GACCAGCACGGACACCCCCCAAGCGCCGACACCCCTTTCCCGCGGCAGCAGATGTTCGTGCCGGCGCCCCGCGATCTAGGGGGACAGCAGCGGAAGGCAGTCTGGCTCTGAGAGAACAGAGCCGCTGTCTGCATTGAGAGCCGTGATGCTCACGCTCTTCTGAGGACGAGCCCCACGGAGAAGCACGTTTCCCGTGAAGACCCAGGCGCGCGCACTTATGTGCGTATTGCGTGTGTGTCCATGTGCACGGAGGTCCACACAGACACCCATACGTCCCTGGGACAGGAGGTGCCCCCACCTCAGTGCGTATCCCCATCACAGTGACACAGCCCGTCCTTTCCACCTATTCCACTTTCTAAAACCACAGCCACGAGCCACTAAACCAGTGACGGCGAACCCCTTCAGCTCGGCGTGCCAGCGTGAAAAACCCTAACTTCACTCTGGTGCCGTGTCACATAGAGAAACTTTTTGATCTTTGCAACCAGAGTAAAACCAAGACTTATATTTTTGATATTTATTTTATATATTTAAATGCCATTTGACAAAGAAAAATCAACCAAAAAAATGAGTTCGCGTGTCACCTCTGACACGCGTGTCACAGGTTCGCCATCACGGCACTAAATGGGCTCATGGCCCAGGAATGGAAGCACACGATCCTGCAAGGACAGGGGTTCCCGCCCGCCGGCCTTCCCCACGGAGGCACCGCGCAGCAGGGGGCCTGGAGGACAGGGAGGCTACGGCCGCGCCGAGAACGAATTCAGAGCCAAGCACCTTGTCTTTCATGACCGGAGGGGAAGGTGCTTGGACATGATGGTTTCTGAGGATGGAAAGCTCATCTGTTTTCATCTGATACACTGGGAGCAACACAACCACATTTCCAAACCACGTGAAGACCCCCAAAAACACCACTCCGGTGGAACCCAGCTCTGAGGGGCTTGTTCTGTTCCGAGCTGGGGGCCAGTTTTTATTGCAGCAACTGGGAGGGGCTGGCTGGTGTGAAGGCATCTGCCACACTGTATAACACACACACACACACACACACACACTCACACACACTCAAACATAAACTACCACATATTCAACTGCCCACAACTTGTAAACGTAAATGGCAATACTGAAAAATGGCCGAGTCCAGTTTTAGGTTAAGGCCAGCTCAGCATTTTGACAAGAATGGGACGCACACTCACACTCCCCGATGGATGGACCGCAGCCCCGGGCGGGGACACACACTCACACTGTCCCTGATGGACGGACCGCGGCCCCGGGCGGGGACACACACTCACACTGTCCCTGATGGACGGACCGCGGCCCCGGGCGGGGACACACACTCACACTGTCCCTGATGGACCGCAGCTTGTAGAAGGGCTGGATGTAGAACCAGGAGCCCTCGTTCCCCGCCTCGTCCAGCGTCACGCGCATGGCGTTCTTCTCCAGCAGGGCCGGCAGCCGCTTGTTCACAGTCAGGTACTTGTTACTTTTCAGATGCAGGAGCTGAAACCCGCCGGGAACAAGGTGGTGTCAGCGAGCCTCTGACTCGGCCGCTCCTCCCGGCACATACAATGTGGCTCGGACACCCTCCCCCGGCTCACTGTGAGGTCGGGAGCCGCCGAAGTGCCCGCAGCAGGAACGCTTAGGGCCGTGGTCAGCAAACTGCGGCTCGTGAGCCACATGCAGCTCTTTGGCCCCCTGAGTGTGGCTCTTCCTAAGCCTTCGGAGTCTCCTAATTAAGTTCATAACAATGTACCTACCTATATAGTTTAAGTTTGAAAAATGTGGCTCTCAAAAGAAATTTCAATCGTCGTACTGTTGGTATTTGGCTCCGCTGACTAATGAGTTTGCCAACCACTGGCTCAGGGGCAGCAGCAAGAGCAAAGGAGCACAAGTAGAACCAGAGACATACTGTGCTGCTCCCAGCAGAGCCTGGGGCAAGGCTGGAGGTGCTCAGGCAGAGGGCACCACCTGCTGCCCACAGCCTGCCGGGGCCAGGACACCCCTGCAATGCCAAGTCCAGCCCCGAGGCATCTAGGCACAGGCACCGCGGTGCCCACGAGCCCGGGGAGGGCGGCGGACCCACCTGGATCACGTTGCCGTACTGGATGACGGTCCCTAGCAGCTTCCTGTTCTCCGTCTCGTTCTGCTTCTTCTCGAGGTCGGCCGCGTGCTGTGGGGGAGAAGACGACGGGTCACAGAGGCGGCCCGGCCGTTTCTCCGCCGGGACACAGGGCTGGCGTCCGGTCTGCCCGAGAACCGCAGACACGGGCAAATCCCCAGCTCCCCTGCGGCTCAGCCACCGGCAAGGCCCCGGGCACCCACTCAGCCACGGGCAAG